TCCCGTTTCGGCGGGGAGTCTATGTTGCAAGCTAGTTCTTGCTTTACCAGACTTTAAGCCCACACAAGCATGCGACTGTTCTTGCGTTCTTGGGTTCTTGCTGCCATGCCCACAACGCCGGCCATTTCGAGCGATCCAGCGCCGACGCGGAGGCGGAGACTCTGGGGGGTCTGCTGTGGGGGGGGGCGCCCGTGGGGGCGGGGCGGGTGGCGCGGCGGTTCAAGCGGCGGCGCTCGCTCCCGACCTTTCAAGCCAGCAGGCAGGGAAACCTGGAAATTGATGGAGCGTGTTCCGCCGATTCACTGGACCTGTGTGCGCGTGGCGTGGTGGTGTGCAGGGCGTCCTACATACCTGGCGACCCGCGCAACCCGCCCTGCCCCTGCGACCAGTCCTACGCGCCCATCTGCACCAAGGACGGCCGCTGGTTTGCCAGCAAGTGCCAGGCCCAGGTGAGAGGGGGAAGGTAAAGGTAAAGGTGGGGTAAGAACCTAGAGGGAGACATGCAGGCCCAGCTCACCCATCTGCCATCCACCTCGCGACCATTTTGCTGATCTGCCGAACCGGAGGGGACAGATCAGCTGGGCGGCGGGCCCCTTCCTGCGCCACTGCTTCGGTGAAAGGCTCTGTTTCTGGTGCCGCCGCCCGCCTGACCTCGCCACCCTCCCCGCTTGACCACGGCCCCTCCCCGCCGCAGTGTGCGGGTGCCGAGCCGGCCTTCCCTTGCGACAGCGACCAGCCGCAGGACGAGTGCGAGGCGGTGTGCCGGGAGAAGGCCGAGGCCGAGGGCGGCGGCGGCGGCGACGACGACGACCCTGGCGACACCGGCTGCGCCTGCATCGACCTGTTTGCCCCGGTGTGTGGAGGCGACGGCCAGGTCTATGGAAATGGCTGCCAGGCCATGGTGAGTCAGACAGCGGCGCGCCGGCAGAGGAGAGGCTCTGATGGCGCAACCTGGAGCAGCGTTGGCTTCTGCCGCTGCCGCTGCTCCTGCGCCTGCGCTGAACCTGCCCTCACTTCCAATCTGCCCCCCACAATTTGCAAACCACTGGCCCACCACCACCACCTCCACCACCACCCGCACGCTCCATCCCTCTCGGTCCCCCCCGGCCCTGCAGAACTGCGGGCGGGGCGTGGATGTGCGCTGGCGCTGCGCCTGCCTGGACTTTGATGCCTGCGCCCAGCGGTGCGCCGACCTGGCCGTGTGGCAGCCGCCGCAGTGCAAGCCGGAGCCGGAGCCGCCGCAGTGCGCGTGCCAGACGCTGGTGGCGGAGACGCCCGTGTGCGCCATGTCGGGCGTTGTGTATCCGGGAGAGTGCCAGATGAACGTGAGCTGGGCCAGCCGGCACGCACATGCTGGCGGGCTGGATCGAAGGCTGGAGGGCTGCCCTTGCCAGGGAGCGGAGGGAGGGTGGCGTGTCCGTGGCGGCGGGGAGTGGCGACGGGGCAGCCGCCGCGCCCTGCCCCTCCCCTCGACCCCCACGCCGACCCGCCATGCTCCTCGCTCGCGCCAGTTGCCCCGCCGCGCGCCCGCCTGCCTGCCCGCAGTGCAAGCAGCAGCAGCTGGAGGTGCGGTGTGATGAGCTGGAAGACCCGGAGGACTGCCCGCTCGAGTGCCGCCGGCGGGTGGCGGAGCGCAACAACCCGTGCGCCGCCTGCGGCGCCGCGGACGCAGGCACCGGCCCCGCCTGCGGCACCTCCGGCAGGCTGTACATCAACGCATGCCTGGCAGAGGTGGGCATTTCGGGCGGGATGGGGCAGGCTCTGGGGTCGGGGTGTGTGCCTGCATGGCCGGTGCCACACCCTGCGCAGCAGCAAATCTGGTGGCACGGCAGGCCGCCGAGCCGCGCGCGCCTCTGTGCAGCCCAGCCTGCCCTGGGCGCCACCCGCTTGCCTGCCCTGTTCCAACCGCTTGCCTGCAAGCCCCGTGTGCCCCCTTCTTTGCTCCGTAGTGCGACCCCAACAAGCCGGATGCCCTGAGCTTCGCCTGCGCGGATCGGGGGCTGGAGGAGGAGGAGTGCCGGGAGGCGTGCCAGGCCGAGGCGGCGCCGCCAGACCCGTGCGCGCGCTGCGCCCTGCTCAAGATGCCGTCCCGGCCGGCCTGCGGCGTCAATGGCGCGCTGCACGACACACCCTGCTACCTCAATGTGAGTCTGGTCGCGGGGCCTTGAGGACCCGGCAGGACGGCAGGAACAGAGGCGCAAACAGAGGCTCGGACGAGCACCGCGGGGGCGGCTTGCTGCTGCGGAGCCAGCAGGCGTGGGAGCAGGGCGCAGGCGCTCCTCGCAGCGACCAGCGCGGCGTGCACGGCTGCTTGGGTGCGCATCCGCCCCGCCCGTCGTCTCCCAACGCGTGCCCCTGCCTCCGCTGCCGCTGCCGCAGTGCAACCAAGACGCCCACCGCTTCTTTTGTGACGAAAAAAACCTGGGCCCCGAGAAGTGCGCGGCAACGTGCCAGGAGCTGGCTGCAAACGGCAACACAGACCCCTGCGAGGCGTGCTCCCAGACCGACGAGGCGCCCACGCAAGTGTGCGGCGTCAGCGGCATCATCCACCCCAGCATCTGCTACATGCAGGTGCGCACACAACACACACCAGGCATACCAGACACACCACACGCACCACACACACACACACACACACACCACACCACACATGTGGCAGTGGGAGGGCGGCATGCTGGCGCTGGCGGCAGGCTGTCTGTGGCAGGCTTTGGGCGCAGACAGGGTTGCCTGCTTGCCGCCCTGCCGGCCAGCCCGCCTGGACCGCAGCGCCCGGGAGAACGCGGCGGCCGAGCAGCACGAGCGCCTGCCGTGCTTCTTATGATATTCCTGCTGCCCCGCTGAGCCGCCGCCCTCCGCTGCTGCAGTGCAAGGGCGACACCTTTCAGTTTGAGTGTGGCGACAGGGAGCACGAGGCGTGCATGGCGGACTGCCGGGAGGCGGCCGGGGGCGTGGACCGGTGCCGCGTGTGCAGCATGATGATGCTGCCCGCCCACCCCGTGTGCGGCGCGAGCGGCGTGGTGCACCCAGACTTCTGCCAGCTGTGGGTGAGTGGGGCTGCCTTTCCTGCCTGCCCTCGTGGCCTTCTTTCTTCTTGCTGCGATGACAGGTGGCAAGGGGTGAGGCAGCTCCCGGTCCTGCCTCGGCGAATCCCGGGCCTTTGTTGTGGTGGCGGGTACCGCCGCCAAGCAGGCGCCGCTCCATCCAGCAGCCCGCCCACCTCCCGTCACCCCTCCCTCCCCTTCCCTCTCTCCGTCCCTGCCCCGCTCACACGCCCCCCGGCATCATTCTTTCTTCCACCTTCTTTCTTCCACGCAGTGCAACGACGACACCCAGAACTTTGTGTGCGGCGAGCGGCGCCCCGCAGAGTGCGCGGCCAGGTGCAAGGCAGACGCCAACCAGGACTGCACGTGCGGCGACGAGGCAGGCAGCGAGGCAGTGTGCACGCTGGGTGGCGAGGTGGCGCCCAGCGCCTGCGAAGCGGGGTGCAGGGACAAGCAGGTGAGGGAGGGAGGGAAGAAGATGAAGGGAGGGAGGGAGGGAGGGATGAAAGGAGGTCAGAAGGGAGGGAAGATAGGAGGGAGGGGAGGGAAGGAGGGTGGGAGAGGCTCAAGCCCAGGGCTTAAGGATGGGCTGCGCACGCACCGCACGCAGCACACGCGCCCTGGCTGG